CCCGAACAAAGGCACTTCACCGCCAGTATTATCTGAGCACCAACAACAGGTTTGACTCCCCACTTTGTATATATAGGTTCGGGACGTGCTCGGGGCTGAACGATCTGTTCAATCTGACTTATGGAGTCTAATTTCGTTTGATCAACCCAGAGAGCTTATAAATACCAAGAGCCACATGAGTGAGACAAGCATTCCAAACGATTTGAGACATCTCGTTGGCCCCGCCCCTTCAATATGAGCTCACTTCCGTTGGTTCCTATACATGGATTCGGATACTTGACCCAGACCCTAAACTCATGGGCGTCTGAGTAATCAAGAGGTGAGGCGGACCATCCACTTGGCTGGACACACACACTGATCGATCACATCCGCTGGATACCAATGGTACATGTTCCATCGGCGTCGGAGAAGTACTGAACCAAGATCGACAAACTACGGGCCAAACTATATGCGACACAAGCAAAGCTAACGGGCGAAGGTCCAGTATCCCAGTTTCAGTATCTCGTACAAGCTGGTCTGATATTTATTTTCCTTCTTCTTCCTGACTGTAAGGGACCCACAAAAGAAAAGAACGAGGTGCGACACAACACTCGCGCGTGCTTACGGTCGGCGTCGGCTAACGTTTGGCATTCTGCTCAAATCCACCCAGGCGACACTCAAGGTGTGATAGATCCTATTCGTGCATACATCGTGGAAAATAGGGATTGACACCTGGTGTACTCGAATGTAGACTGAAACGTCACGAGACAGTGTTCAACGGGACATAAAGACCGACCTAAATAATCACACCAGTGCCCTTATCCTCTGTAGAACCGCTCTCTCAGACCCACATCTGATAAATGGACGAGTGCCGCTCCTACACCGTGGGAACTTTAGTAAGAGGAGTCAACACCCGCGGCTGGCCTCGACCTTGCGGTGTTCGAAGCCCGCACTCGGGCTTCCTGCCGCCAATTTCCTTAAATCGATCTTTCCGCATGCCGAATCAGTAAGCTACTGCGCTTAATGTCTTGGTCGTAACTTGTTCGTCAGTGGGTCGCCACCTTCATCGCCTCAGACCGCGGCATAGACGTCGCCGGAGTCAGCAGCACTTTCATCGCTTCAGACTGCGGTAAAAACGTCGCGGAGTCAGCAGCACCCTTTCCGGACGCAGCCCGTGTGGTACGGCGGCCATTCCATGATGGTCTATCTATATAGCCAACCAACTGTTAGACTCTGTCGTCGTTGTCGAACTCACCATTTACACTTCCATCCTTCACACCCAATATGAAAACATATACAGCCGGCCACTCAATCTTGCTCCTTCTTGGTGCTCTCTCGCTCGCCAAAGGATCGCCCGTTACACAGAGGACTAACACAATGCCATCATTTACATGGGGCCCATGCCCCACTTATAACGACACCCTCCCATCAGCGATCCCATTCCCAGTCGTATGCACAGACTTTAGCGTCCCCGTCGACTGGAGGAATCCAAATGGCGAAAAACTCACCCTCAAGGTCGGGAAGATCGCTGCCACGACAAACACATCGCTCGGTAGTTTATATGTCAATCTAGTAGGCGCACTTTAATCCATGACCATCCTCCTCTAAGCAAGATGGGATGCCCTTTAACTCTCTAGCTAATTTCTAGGGGGGTCCTGGAGAATCAGGAATTGATTTTCTTCAATCATCGCTGATCCTGGCCATTCACAACTCGACTGGGGGTGCATTTGATCTCGTCTGTGAGTCCTGAACAACAAGAACTTTATGTCTACCATGCCGGATTACCTATTAACCGCTTGGTATCCTTTCAGCATGGGATCCCCGTGGTGTCGATTTCTCTTCGTCGCCCATTAACTGTTTCGACGACTCCGAAGCTTCTCCAGGTTCTTTTACGTTCGACGCTTGGTTCGCAAATATGACAACCCTAGGAGGCCTTCAAGCTCCCTCATCCGGTCCCAGCGCGAAGGACGTCGATACCTTCAATGCCAATGTAAAGCCTTGGAGCTCGGTGGTCGAGACGCTCACCAGTGAATGTAACCAAAAGAACGCGGCGCACCTCACTCAGGTCGGTACCGTAGCCGTTGTGCAGGATCTAGTCGCTATTGCGGACGCTATCGGTGGTCCTCAAACGCCGATCAATTACTATGGGTACTCGTGAGTCTGCCTGTCAAGAGACCTTGTACAAGAGATAGATGCTTAAACCCTGTGTTGAAGGTACGGCACGGTTATCGGAGCCTACTTTATCAACTGTGAGTGGAGTGTGCTTTCGTTGATGACACTCGTTGAAGTGGATCCTCACATCCGTTTTCCTTAGTGTTCCCTGAGCGCGTCGGACGTGTTGTCCTCGATGGTGTTGTGAATGCGACTCTGTCGAGCTCGGCTCCTGGATACGAGGTGTGTCAACATGACGTTGTTCGATGTATCCTTGGCGCAGCGACGGAACTAATCCTCTAGAATTGAATCTTGTACCGTTAGTTCTTTGCCAGTGAGTGGACACAGCAACATTTCTTTCACTCCAAAGCGAGAGACTCAGTATAGGTCTCAGGTAGCATCTCCGATGGAGACGCAACGTTACAACAGTTCCTGGCCCAATGCGCAGAGTCAGGGCCGTCTGGGTGCGCGCTCGCCTCTTCAAATTCGACGCAGTCCAGTCTGAACGCTTGGATCAATCAACTGATTGATGTAAGAGTTTTTCACCTTCCTTTTTCCAGTCGCTCACGTGTCGTTTCATCCCGTTCAAGGACGCCTATAACTTCGCTCCTCTCGGAAGTGGCATGACGTCTTTCGACATCCGAGGTACGTTCAAATCACAGAGATCGCTCTCTCTAAGAAGCCTTTTCTTCCTCCAAACCACAATAATGGGACCTGGTTATATACATCGACTCTTTAGTATTGTTAGAGTCGACCGCTCGTGCGCCAATGCAATGGCAGGATATGGCCAAGACGATACTAGAAGCGCGACAAGCGATCAGCGCGTTGATTCCCGGCAGTAATACGAACAACACGTCGGGAGGCAACAGCACGAGCATGAGGATCAAGAGGGCCCATAGCTTCTTTGCTGCTCTCCCAGCTGTACCTCGGTTCACTAACCTCGTCAAGAGGAGTCAGACTGCTGCCCAAAGCAATGACAACGGCTGGTCCTTGTGGGTTGAGGAGCAATTTCCATGTAAAGACAGTGATCATTAACTTGTGCGACGCATTTGATAGACCCACAGCCGTCCTTTGTGGCGACAGCTCTGCACCGCCGTTCGACGCCTTGGATACGTTCAATAATATTGTCAGTACATCTCAGACGGTGTCCTCCATCTTCGCTCCATTCCTGGTTACACAGGTCCGTGCATTTATGAGCAATAAATTCTGTTCTATTCGGCGTTTAACCGGTCCCTCATTTTTAAACGATGAATCTACAGCCCGAAGCCGTTTGCTCTGGGTGGCCCTATCGGGCGGTACAGCGTTACTCTGGCCCTTGGGACGCCAAGACAATTGCCAACCCGATCGTAGTCATCGGTAACACCTTCGATCCAGTGACACCTTTACACATGGCTAAGGAGTTGGTACGGACGGTAAACTCAAATGGCAAGCGAAACGCGGCTTTGATCCAACACGACGGATCCGGCCATACGACTTTGGAGGAGCTTTCGTTATGCACACAAGCCTTGGTTCGAGCGTATTTCACAGATGGATCGGTACGTTATCCACGGTCGACTATTATCATTTATCAAACTCGAACTGATCTGATATTGAGAACTTCCAGCTTCCGGCGGACACACTGTGTGGTATCAACTTTCTCCCGTTCCCCAACGGGACGGCGGCAGCGCCCACGCAGATCATTTCCTCTCCTCTTACGTGGAATTGAGAATTAGGGACAGGCGCACTGTGAAACCTGCAACGCGACACGCTCTTCTTTTTCATGTCTTCTCATTGCATGCCTTCCTCTCTCCGCATTTCGATGTTGATCAATTTTCGTAATTTGTATGTGTTACCAGCACGGACATGTCTGCTCCCTTCATGCATCATATACGATTTCAGCCTTCGAATTGGTGTCGACGGAATCAGGCGTGACATGCTATCTGCGTATTTTTATCATTACAGCTTGTTACCAACACAAACTAGTTGGTCGCGCTTGACTAGGTGTTTGGGTATCGCCCACGGCTGAGTTACGCCAGGAACCATGGGCTTGAGTATTCAGAGGTCGTTATTCGAATTGAACAACAACGTCGCCGGGAAGAGGTTGAGGAGCTTGCATTGACTATATTTTAGTAACTTGGTAGATTTATATCGCGGCCTGATGGTCTAGTAGTATGATTCGCCCTTAGGGTTTCCATCACTCAGATGGGCGAGGTCCCGGGTTCAATTCCCGGTTAGGCCCTTCTTTTTACCATTCCAGGTAATACAGACCCATATATCCTGGAAAGGAAGGGGTTGCTCACGCAAGGCGTTGTGCATGTTTGTCTAAATTCGCAAGCCACTTGACGCGGATCGGACCAAAAGATGGAAATTATTTTTGACTCTCATAGGAACCCTTCAAACTAGCTGGATTTCGTTGCTTGCTTCGGGACTTAGTCACCCGTTGAAAGACATGTGTCCAGCTAAGTTCGAGCAAGCACCCCGTTCTCATAGCTAACAGGCTGCATGTCCG